ATGACGGTCGAGGAAGCGCCTTCGAACTATGACGGCCTTATTTCTCAAAGCGAGGCGTCCGCCCAACAACCAACAGATCTCGCCCCCCCCAGATTCCGCCCTCTTTCCGTCGCAACCACAGTGTCAGCGATAGGCCCCAAAACAGCCAATACAGCCCCGACGCGGTCGAGCAAGACACTTACCGCACAAACCAAAGTTGCCATTCCTCGTCAACGGGTCGCAGCTGCCCCGCGCTATAATCGGCGAGTGCCTCGCGCTTGCGCATCTTGCAGGCAGCGCAAGACGAAATGCAGTGGGGATACCCCAGTTTGTCGCCAATGTCGCGAGCTAAGGGCTACGTGTAGCTACCCCGACGGTTGGAGGGAAAGAACGAAGAAGTACGTGTATCTGTGACTATACATGCATATTTCTGGAACAACACTCAATCGCGAGCAAGCATGCTGACCGAATATTCGCGCATTACAGACAAATCAAAACCCTCTCGGAGAAAGCGCAAGAATATGAGAATCTGCTGAAGGATTTGGGGGGTGTTGTTGATTCCAATGCCGCGGAGCGGATTAGGAGCTTGCTGGACAAGGTTTGTCCTTCTACCTTCTCGGGATACTGGAGTGTCGCTAACACTCGCAAATACAGCATGGTCCGGAAGTGGATTACTCGTCGCATAATTCCCAGTCTCAATCAGCAACCCCTCAGGATGACGTTCCGGAAAACGATGAACCGACCTCGCCTTCATCTATCGGGTCTCTTGAGGCAATTGATCGAGTAGAAGAGGATATCAATCGATCAGAACATGCCAGAGCAACTGGCTATATGGGGAAAAACTCAGAAATTACCTGGATGCAACGGCTACACAGAGAGGCAGACCAACGGGCCAAAGGTCTTCCGGGGAGTCTAGAACCAGGCCAGGATCTAAAGACCGATAATGCATTATCCCTGCATGCGGTCAATTATCATCTTGATGACTTGGATATCTCTGTGCCCGGACCGGTACAACTCTATGCCATGCCTCCCAGAGAGGTGGCGGATCATATGTTTGAGGCGTATTTGACTACCGTGCATCCGTTCTACCCCATCATCAACAAACCTCTTTTCTCGGCACAGTACCGGACATTCTTTGACAGCGCTGCTCGACCTGGTGACAAGTGGCTTGCTATATTGAATATGATATTCGCAATCGGGGCTAAACATGGCCATCTCATTGACGCACCATGGCGTGGGGACGAGAAGGACCACTTGGTATACATGACCAGGGCTAGGATTCTCAGTATGAACGGTGATGTCCTGTTCAGCCATCCCGATCTCCAGCAAGTCCAGGTGGAGGGCTTGATTGCCTTCTATCTTCTCGCTTCTGATCAAATTAACAGGTGAGTTTTAAGACCCCCTCTCGTCATCTGAATTGAGCGGGCAATAACACTTAAAATAGGGCATGGAGAATCTCGGCTTTGGCAGTGCGGTCTGCAATCACACTTGGAATCAACATGAAAAGCACCAGTCCAACGACACCCGATCTTTCGAAAGAAGCCCGTTACCGAGTCTGGTGGTGTCTTTATACATTTGAGCACATGCTCGGAATAATGACTGGCCGGGCAACTTGTATCCAGGAGGGAGTATGGACTTCGCCTTTCCCCATTCCATTCCAAGAAGAACAGTTACAAGAAACCGATGCCCTCGAAGTACTCACAGACACTACACTACGAGACGAACGAATCAACAACGTCATGGCAAGTGCTTCTATCAGACAAATGCCCTTCCACCCGGTAAATGGTAAGGATGCCAGTCAACACACTCGAGCACGAGACACTGCATGGATCAAAAAGCTGCCTGTCAACTACGGGCTCTGTTATCTCTACTATTGCGACTTGTCGGTCATCGTACAAGAAATCGTCAATAAAGTCTATTCAGTGGATTGTGTTATGATACCATGGGCTCAAATTGAGAACCGGATTGGTGAACTCAAGTCTCGAACCGAGACATGGCAATCCAACCTTCCAACCGGTCTCGACTTCACACGCAAGGAAGACAATGGACCAGATATCCTTCGCTGCAAACTGACCTTAGCGCTGCATTACTACAGTGCGCGGATAACACTAGGCCGTCCATGTCTCTGCCGGCGTGACGCGCGCCAGGGCCCCAGCCCTTCCTTCAGTCACGAAATGGCAGTGGTAACCCTGGAGTCTGCATGGCACATGCTGGATCTGCTACCAGATGAACCGGATGCCCTCCAGCTGTACCAGATTGCTCCATGGTGGTGCATCCTCCACTATCTCATGCAAGCAGCGACCGTTCTCCTCCTCGAGCTGTCCTTCGGCACCGTTCACATGCCAGAAAAAGAAAAGAACTTCATCAGCCTGTCCAAGAAGGCAATTCGTTGGCTCTTCGCAATGTCCGAGCAGAGCATTGCCTCCCGACGCGCCTGGCAGCTCTGCGACCTCAGCCTCCGCAAGCTGGCCCAGGGCATGAAGTACGACGTCAGCGACATGCCTTCCTACCCATATATCCCAGAGCCTAAATCCACTATCAGCCCGGAACCGCCATCCGAACAGCCCATATCTCATACCGCTGGCGACTACTGGGGTCCGCAGCTAGAACATCCCCTGGTGTCTGCTTCGGATGTACCGCCTGGCGAAGACCAGTACACCCATCCGAGCGTCTCGACTGCGGACCTGATGGATTCCTTAACCGCTGAGGCTCAGGACTCGTACTTCCCTTATGATCCCATCAGTGGGGAATTTATGCGTTCTTTCTTTCCCCATTCCAATGACAATGAGAACTGGGAATCTTGAATACAATTATCGCCCATGCTCATGAATGCCTTTACATGAAATCACAAAACAACATGCAAGAACACGAGAAAAGCATGCGGGTTTTCTACCGCTATTTTATTTTTACCGGCTGACTTTCCCATCCATTGCCCTTCAACCCAATCATCATATCCCATCTCCCTATATGCGTTTATATAGACAGGATAATGTTTGCCCGGGTCTTTCCTATTTGGGCTGCCGCTGCCACCGCTCTATGAGGGCACTCAGGGTCAGGATCACTCCAGGGCTGGCACCCGCAGTGAGTGAAAAGTGCGTGTTCGGTACGTACTCCGGGACCACCCAGTGCGTGCTTGGTGCGGACTCCATCCATCCTTCCTTAGTAACACTCAGTAAGCTCCCCTGGTTTGTCCAGCTCAACTAGATCATACCTAAAAGAGTTAGACCTGGGCTATTTACGCTGCCATATCTACCAATTCGAACAGTTGACACATTGGCCCTTTTGGGTAAACCATTGGTTTTGTGAGGGGCTTAGTTATTGGGGAGATGCCAGGCAGGCCCTTCACATTTACACTTGGTGATTTAAAGGGTGAAGAGTGATCTATAGTCTTTATTTAACACGCCTAATTAAGTTATAGACATCTTCTTTATATGTTGCTCTCGTTGTAACACTTGTCCTCTTATACGCGGTATAATAACATAGAAACCTCCACTCTGAAGTAATTATTCAAGCCTTCTATGGTTAGATTCTATAAGACATATACGTAAGGCGCTCTAAGGTTACCGTTAGGCTATTTTACGTTAGAGAGAGATGTCCTTCATAGCCTGACAATAAGAGACTCCGGGGAGTATACTCCGCAGTGCCCACTAGATTAACAGCATATAGACACTACCGAGGTAGTAAGTTATCGGTGAGTCAGGTGATTGGTATATAGGTATCTGGGGGGTTTCCAAGCACTTTGTCTTATAAACATTCGAGAGAATAACATTGGTATATCTTACTGCCAGAAATAGGATATACATTCGGGCTCTCAGAATTACTACTGATACGAGCAATACTACTACTACTACTACTACTACTACTACTGGCCCAAGCTTACTCTAATTTCCTAAGCATCTTATGGCCCCTTCACGCCCTGCCATACGTTGTCTGCACCCCCGCTCACGACTAGGCTGTCTGGTTTGCCGAGCACAGCACAAAAAATGCGATGAGCGTCATCCTTTGTGTTCTGGCTGCGAGCGAAATCAACTGGTCTGCTCATAGCCAGCCTCATCGAGCCCACCGAATGATGAAAAAAGAGTTCCAACATCGAAACTGCACTTGATACGACCAAGTCTGGCTCCAAAAGTGTTACAGGGGCAGGGCCTATCAAATATTCTCCACCATTACATATGTTGTACCGCTCCTCGACTTGCAGGCAGAGTTCTCCCGGAAAATCCAATCGTCACTTACAATCTACCTATCGCCTGGTCTAATGATCTTTTGTTGCATGTTCTTCTCTCCACGAGCGCATCGCACCTGACGTATGTGTCCCGGGAACATGAATTGATTGCCCAGAAACATTACGCGATCACATTGAGAAAGATGAACAGACTGTTGACTTCGCCATCTGAAAACACTTCTGATCGGCTTATCTTGCTCAGTATTGTGCTCGCATTATGCTTCTTTGAGGTACTCATACCATTAACATTTATTGTTGTGTTACTAGCTACTGATATCGGTACAGGCGGTCGACTGTAATCGTCAAGGGGCTTTATTCTATCACCGTCGTGCAGCACGGATCATGATAGCAGAGTTGCAGACGAAGCGAACTCAATTAGACCAGGGGGGTTTCGGGTTTTGCTTGGAGCAATATTCCTACTTGTCAGCTGTGTCTAACATCACACTGGGTTTCAACAACTGCAACGGAGAAAGGAATATCGATCCTTTCGAGATATCTCTGCGACATCTCAACTTAGGATCTAGTATATATGGAGTCATGTTTGGTTGCTCACACGAACTCTTTGAAGCTATCCCTCGGATTGCCCGACTGGCTATGTGCCATTCCTTTCCAACGCCGAGCAATCGAGAAAATGAGTTACGCACAAGCCTTCATATCCTTGAGCGGCAAATAGAGAACTGGCAACCAACACTCGGACCACAACAGTCATCAGTGAGCAGCCCCCATGGTACAGAAGACTTCCAAACTGCTGGAAATGCCTACCAATAGGCGTGTCTTATCTTCCTCTATCTGTCCGTTCATGGGTCTAACCCCCCGGATACACATCTGTTTGCCAAGGGGTCCTGTGACAGTCATCTACGGCACCATTGTTGCATTAGTTGTCTACTTTATGGTAGCCTTGTCGCTGGCTGAACTACCAGCGTGTATCCCACTGCTGGCGGCCAGTATCATTTTGCCTCTATATTAGCGCCGGCAGGGTGGTCCCGCAGTGTATCATATGCCTGTGGGATTATGGCCACGTTCTCCTGGGTCGGACAAAATGCATCCGTGACAATTTTGGGCTCACAAGGCATACTCGCCCTGGCAGCTTTCTTCAATGAGGGCTATACACCGCAGAACTGGCATTACTTTCTTTTATTCCAAGCCATCAACATCGTTTTCCTCTTCTACAATTTGTTCCTGCTGAGGAAGACATCGCGGATTCATGATATTGCTTGTATGTATCATTTTCATCATATACTCTCACTGATATTTTGGTGTCACATCATCTAAACTACCTGACAGTTTGCCTCACGCTACTCACCTTCATCATTTCGGTGGTTACTTGTCTGGTCCGCGCGGACAAGCAAAGCAGCAGGTTTGTTTGGACTGAATTTGATAACAACACCGGCTGGCCCAATGGGATTGCTTTTCTCACTGGGTTGGTCACTCCTTGTTTCATGTTTGGAGGCCTAGATGCCACTCTCCATCTAGCCGAAGAAGTTGAAAATCCCCAGAGAATTATACCTCGTGCACTTATAAGCACAGTCTCGATTGGATTCATCACCGGTTTCTGCTTCAGCGTTGGGATGTCATACACAATCAAAGATCTGGACACTCTTTTGAGTAGCTCGTACGTTCTATGCTACTACCCCCACCCCCTTGATGAAAATAAGACAGGAGGGGAAAAAAATACTTCTTTGCTAATATTGTGGATTGTAGATGGCCGATTTATCCACTTTGGATCCAGGCTACAAAAAGCGTCCCGGCAGCTACCGCATTCATGGTGGCTTTGATTTCCATCACTCTGTTGGTAGCCAACTCGGTTCAGCAAACGGCATCCCGTTTGACTTGGTCATTAGCCCGGGATGATGCGCTTCTATGCTCACGGTGGTTCTCAAAGGTAATGCTTGAGGTTCCCGCCCCAGTATTGTTGCTCAATGCTGGGGGTACTTTCATTCTTGGGTGCATTTTTCTGGCATCCACAGCAGCGTTCAATGCCATTTTAGGCTCTGCCATCATTCTTCAGATGCTTTCTTTCGCTATTCCGATATTTTTCTTAGTATGGTACAAGCGATCACCAAGCCTCCCCCCCGAAAAGCGGGCATTCAAGCTCCCAGGCTGGGCAGGGTGGACAGCCAACATTATCACAATTCTATGGGCAATAGTAGATTACTCAGTTGCTGTCCTGGCTGTTATGGCACTTATCGGGGTGATTAATTGGTTTGCTCATGCTCGTAAACATTACCGCGGCCCAAGAATCATACTAGAATCTTGTGACCCGCTTGATTCACCTTATTAGAACTGTGTCAGATGAATTATATACCTATGTACTCCGTACTTGATTTCTTTACTTCTTGGCCTTGCCATTCCGTTTTAGTGCTCAGACCTTGCCGCTTTTTGGTCTCAGAGTAAAATTGAGCACGGCCCTGAACACTCGGAGCCCCGGGGCCGCTTACAGATAAGCTGATTGAGCATGGATCATCTGACTAGGTACCACATGAGCAATTCGTGACAAGCTGTTATTTATTTGATTTATATAATTAGAACAAGGGGAAAAGACAGTTAAAAAGACTACTAAACAAGTGATTTTTCTAGATATGACCTTGCCAATATTTTCGTGAAAGCATATACAACCTAGTTATAAAATCTAGCACCTATCGCTTAGAGTACTCAGTACCAATTCTAGTGAATGTCCCTTGGCTACCCCGTACCCCGTACCCCATACCCCGGCCTCGGCCCACCATGTTTTATTAAAGACATGTGCGAGTAGCGTCATTGACTCCGGTGTCCCTAAAAAAGCTCAATGACTTGGCGTCCTGTAGGTCCGCACTAACTATCTTCGTGTAAGCTTTGTGACCCCGTTTGATGATTGAATTTCATTCGTTCAGATAATTACCAGGCACAGGGTTTACACTAGTTGAAATACCAGTACAACATAAGAGAACCGAGCCAACTGTACTTTTGGGAGAGTAATCAAGATAAATCTTTATGTGACCAATAATGTGACATGAAGGATGTTCTAATAACCGGCAAATCCCGCTGGCCTGCGATAGAGCCTGGATTGGAACTGAATCATATAAGACTAGTCTCGGGCATACATTCAGACTTGGTTGTTTTTTCGTTTCGTTCTGGTCGCGTTGAATGTCCTGCACGCCAAACCGACTCCAGGCTATTCATCTATTCGGTTCAACACTATAGTCAAAATGCGCCTTTCTGCTGCTATTATTGTGCTCGCCGCCGGTGCCATCGCTAGAGCTCAACTATCCAATATCCCACAATGCTCTGTATGCTCTGTCCCGCTCAATATCTCTGCTCAGTGTCTCATTTCTATAACTAACCCGTGCTTGTTTCTTTCTCTTCCAGCTTACCTGTTTCACTTCGACCCTTAGCGGGGACGGCTGCTCTGAGCTTACGGATTTCGCGTGCCATTGCCAAAAGCCTGGCCTCGCAGCGGATATTGTGCCCTGCATCAATAAAGCCTGTGATGTCACGGACCGACAAGGTATGAGAAGCTACATTCCCTTTCGTATGATCCGGTCTAACTAGGCCCTGTAGCTGTATCCAGCCTCGTTGTATCCTTGTGTTCCGGTGTTGGGCATCCGGTCTCTATCTCCGGGGTGGACACATCGGCTCCCACAACGACTGCCGTGGCAGCTATCCCAACCACAGCGACGAGCTCCAATTCTACCACGGTCAGTAGTTACGGGTCAGGCTTCAAGACTTCGTCCACGATAAGCGCAATTTCGGCTCAGAGCACCTCCCAGTTCAACGGTGCCTCTAGTATTGCACCCGGAGCTGTTCAGATGGTTGGTGGTGCTGTCCTGTTAGCCGGCATGACCTTCTTTATCTGAAGAGTTGTGTGGAAAGAGAACATAATGGTTTTGGTCTGCTGTCTACTATACTTAATTTCGCGCTGGTACCTCCTTCCATGTTCATTGCTTCTACCAAGCCATGTCAAGTTACACTCATTTTAATACCTGAGCTATTCTAGAATATAGTGCTCAAACATCGAATGGTTGGCGTTTGAATTCCAAGGCGCATTTTTTCACTAGATATATTCATAGTCTCAAGTGAGACCATCGTCTCCAGTTTTTGGGTGATATAAAAAATACCAAAGAGGTAGGACTGTCACATACATCAATACACTATCATACAGGCATCGCACTATACCAGCCCCCCACAACCGGGTGTGGGGGAAATTGGATGTAACATCGGCAACAGCGAACTAGAAAAAAGAAAAGAAAAAAAAAAGAAAGGAAAGGAGAAATAAGTCGTTCGTCCGAAGCCACTAGATTAGTGTCGTGCGAGAAACCACTCATAGCATTTTAGTTTCATTGCGATTCTGTGCCTGAAGCTGACTTCTGCGAGAGTTTGCTTTCTGCCCGAGATAGTAAAGCACAATCCCTCCCCGAAAGAGCCAAGGTGGCCAGATACGACGATCGCAGCTTCTTCCAACAAATATCTAGTCGAAATGAGATCGAACTCCGGGTGTTCTAGTAGTGAGGTTTAAACACCTCAATTGACCCATCCCACACCCCGCAAGCCCTAATCAATTAGACTTTCTGGCAAATGCTAAAAAGCGTATAGGATACGATCAAGTCCGGGGGTTTACGAACTAAGAGAACCTCGGTCGATCAATGTCTTAGAGAATTTGTTAGCAAAACATGTGAAAAGACGAACAATCTTTTAGCTCGCCACCTCTTTCGACGGTGAGAAATTAATTATGCGGCAAAGTACGCTAGACAACGCCAACATAGCCACCACCAAGCTTTACGCACTAAGAACCCTGAAAGGGACCCTTGTCGTTCTGTAATTTTGGGTTACACCATTACATGTAAAAAGTCCCATAAATTAATTCTTCCCCCGAACGCGTCTGCGTACTACCTATATATTCTTAGAAGTGGTGTAGGATTTACCCTTAGGCCCATTGAGAACAAAATATACAAGCCCGCATAATTGTTACATTATTATAGAAATAGAGAATTAAATCAAAGTCCTGCGCACATGCCCAACTCTGCTAGAAGGTCTCCTGCTGTGACATCGATACCGCCAGCATCTGAATCCTCCCTGCCAAAAGCTAAGAACAGTGTGTCATCAATGAACCCATGGTACTTTTGGCCATGGCTTTTCCAACTGATGCTAGTCATGTAGAGCATCTCGGAGGCATCTTCCAGTAATCCCGAGGAAGAATCTTCATCTGACTTCTCCGCTCTCATGCTGCGACCAAAGATCCAGATTGGTTTTGACGAGACTGCGTAGATCTCAAATGGCACTGAGCGCCGCATCAGCACCACATAGGGCTCATATAAGGGGCGAAGACCTTGCAAGGTCTTTTGTTGGACGACGAAGAGCACAAAGGTATTGGTCGCATCAGGTTGGCAAGAGTGGTCAGATCGTGCACATAGAGTGATGGCCAGCGAGTTTGTCGCTTGGTGCATCTTTCCTGTCTCAGGCAAGAATCTCTTGAGACATTGTTGGTCAGAAGCAGCAGTATTCGGCGCTAAGTTTGGTCCAACGGAGCCATCTAGCTCGAGTTTGGAAAACACACGTGTCGGTGCAATCTCATGGTGTATGAACATTCGTCCCGAATCATCCCAGAAGAGGAACCAATTCTTCTCAACTGAACTCCATGGCATTGGACGTTGAAGCTCACGATACTGTCGGAATTCGTGCTCATTTATGGTGTCTATCCCCCAATCCACCAAGATTCGGAAGTCAGATATCCATTGTCCGAAACATGTAAAGAACGAATTGGAGCCGTAAACGGTGTATGGAATTTCGGGCCCGTAGAACACCCTTGCATCATGAGGCCCAACGCTGAGACTAAAGTACGAAAGGTCGCCGAGACACTTGGTGGAGTCGCCAAAGGTCGCTGGGATGGGCAATTGCAGTGGGGGCTCCAGACAGCTCAAGACTCCCCTATCCTCCGAAAATGCGGCATTGCAGACGAGTTCGGCGTACCAGACCGAGGCAGTCCGAGCAGAAGGAAGCTTGCGAAGTTGTGCAGTGATGATCCAGGTGTCAAGCAGCTCAGGATGGGGGATTATACTGGGATTCAGGACGGATCTTTTTCCGAAGTCGATCTTAAAATACTTTCGATTGGCATTCGATACCGAGTATACTATGTGGTGTGTCTGAGACATGTCTTTGTCGAATCCGGGATATCTTCGGTCCTCGTCCGTAGCTTGTCCATTCCGGCAGTGGGATGACGTTCCGCTGCCATGAACGCCCGAACAAGCTATGTCGTTTTGTCCGACATCAATGTGTGCTTGCTTATATGGAGCACCCGAGGAATAGTCCGTAAACAGAAATCTCGATTGCAGGCCGAAATAGTTGGATTGGAATTTGGCGACGAGGATCACCACGGACAATAGGCCTGCAATAAGTATCAGGTGTGTGGCTATTTTTTTGGCCATGTTCAGTTTGGTGAGAGACGGGATTTAACAGTAGGAGATTATAAGTCTTCTAAGGTTATTTTAGAGAAAGCCGAGATTGGTTGTTGACCCTGACTAAGAAGGGGGGGCTTTGACTGACACGACCGAATTGAGTATAGTTTGTTTGGCACTAGGATCACATGGCTTACGTTTTTAATATTGAAAATAGGACGGTATAAATCTATGGTGAATCTCGCGAATGCCATTACAAGAATTTTATGATCCGCTGGTATCCTGAGCTACGGTGTCCGGGTTCCGGGCTAGCAGTAACTTTCGTTTCCGGTTGCAAGACTCTTATTATACAGCAATTTATCATTTAGAAGAACGCTTTGCATTATATACTCGAAAACAAACCAGGCAGATCATGGACACATGTGGAGGGTTATCAGGGTTTTTCAACCAGCGCCCTTTGGTAGAGCCACTGAGAGAACTTCACCGCTGGCTCATCAACTAGTCTAGTCGTGACATCTGCTAGCCAGATAGTCAAGGGCAACAGAACCAGATTTGCGGCAAGAAAGTTGACTTCGAGTCCAAGAGGACCAGCGTTAGGCAAGGGGAGGCGATTAATCCACCAGGGACAATTTTGCTGGTGTGAATCGCGCGCGAAACCCACCGCAGCATAGAGCCTGTCACCCAAAGTCCACAGAACCGGTCCGTGAACCAGATAGAATGCAAACGAAATACGGCCCAAGTACTGGTTGAAAGGGGCGTTAAAGAATGTTTTGAGCCACTGAAGGTGAGATGTGCATGCGACCAGAAAAACAGCGGCCCAGAACAGGTAGAACCACTTGTAATCGAACACTGCCTGTGGCTTTAGGAAGGATAAGAGGTACCACCCTGGTGAGTCACGTAATTGTTGTAATTTGTCCGTATGCGAGGGGACCCCTCCAAGATAAAGGCTTGCATAGAAGAGAACAGTCAGGATGGCTGTCTTGAAGGGACCCAGTCTGAGAAAGAAGCGGGGCAAGTCATTTCGTGTGGCGAGGAGGTCGAGATCTTTTAGAAGCATGCCGGCAATAAACATAGCATAGTGTGATCCATCTGCAATGTACAAGAAGTACACAACCAACGCGACTTCGCCTAGGAGCCGGGCATTGCGGCGAAATCTTGAAAAGGCAAGAACGGCGGAGTAGACAGCCAGAGAGCCTCGATGTTCGACGGGTATAGACCAAGCATGGAAATTGTAGGTGAACCAGGGCTCGCCGCCTGTTCGGAGGGGGAAACTGAAATTCTTGAACTCGGCGTACCAATTCCATAGCTCCGCGCGGTAGCTTCCTTGAAGCTCTGGGACAGTGCTGATATTAAACAAGTGCAAAAATGTCATATAGCATAATGTTGTGCAAATGACAGGAATATATAGACGAAACCATCGGCGAAATATGGCCGAGGACAGGGATTTACCAAGTGCAACGTAATCGCCATCCTGGATGATTACCAGTGGCCTCATTGAAAGAACGTACCCAGAGAGCACGAAAAAGACGCTGACGGCAAAATGCCCCCCCGAAAAGAATGTTCGAATACCAGGAAGGCATGCGAAATAGTACTTGTTGTCGTAACCGTAGGCCAGCTCGAAGGCATTTCCCACCCCTCCACCATCGTGCGCCCACATTTGATGATGTCCCCAGTAGACTAGTAGAGCTGCAAAACCTCGCAATCCATCTAGGTATGCGGTGGGCCTGATAGGTAACCGTTGCTTTTCATTTGCGTTGTCGCTATTTGTCCGCCCAGTAAGGATTGTGGGCAGAAAGGGAGCCATGTAAGAGGAGAGTGACATCTCATGCTGAGGGCGTGTCATATGGGTAAACCGTGGTTTCCACTGTCCATCCTCGAGGGCTCGCTCTGGGCTTGAGTTCAACTGAGGTGAAGAGTTCTCGATTGAGGGGTGTATCATAGGCATTGGGCGAGTGGATTCAAGTTGAGAGAGTCAGTCATTCGAAAAGAAGAAAAGATCAATAGAAAGCCAAATTCCAAATTTCAAATTTCACTTGATAATTACATCTCAGTACAGCTCTGTAACATGTGAATCCAGTCGCATACAGTGAAAATGAGTGGTTCTTGTTAGCGGGTGAGCCCCAGTGCCTAGTCGTGCCGAGGCCCGTAATTAATTAGAGCCGGATCCCCGCGGGCCCTCTTCCCCTCCCCCACAAGTCGGGGTTTGAACACAGACCTCGGGGGTATGGCCCGATTTGACTGACTCCGTGCAGCCACAATATCACCCCCTGCAATGTCTCAAAGCTTTGGGGTCGCATGTGAGTGCTTACAGAGTACGGAAGTCTAAGTGGCGTTATGAACCAAATCCATAATTGACTTTTCCCCCACACCAGGTCTCTACTATTGGCCCCCGCCGCCCGGATGGCTAAAGGGGTTTCACTACTCCGTACTCTAGGAATGATCCAACCAGTCAAGCTTCAATTACC